AATTTAATTACAAGATTGTTTCCTAGGGCTCCCCAGGCATTACATTTCAAATGAACTCCAGTGGAGATGATATTTTGCCATGAAACGCTCATAAAAGCCTGATATACTTATTTCCTATCTTTAAAAATATTTTTATACATGAAACACGTATGCAGATAAATTATACATATTAAACACGTATATAATTATATACATATTTAAGATAGTAAACAGATTCAAGACCAAGTCATCCTCCTTTTTTCCCATTTAAACTGCAGTTTGAGCACTAATCACCAGGAGATACGTAACAGACTAAGCACACAGGTATTTTTACTTTAGGCAAAGAATTCCCAGCTTCAGAGGACTTGACAGTTGTCTCCATTAACTCCATGGCTGTTGTAGCCAAAGCTTATCATGTGCTGAAAAGGATGCTGGGATTAATTATGTAGTTCCAATCTGGTCCTTTTATTAGTATCAGGAATGTTCATACCCCAAGTTGTACATGACAGTCACTTAAAACTCCATCTGGTTTTTTTGATTTACACCAGGAACTTCTGTGCTAAGAGTTCATGGATGTATTAACTGCACTGAGGGTTTTTTTTCCCCTCTCCTAAAGAAAAAAAAAAAAAGTTTGCAACAAACAGCTTAAATATGAACAAACCTGCAAATGCCTGTTAGTATTTGCAAGCTTGGAAAGTAACAAAGAAAGATTTTGTGCTTCTCTACACAGGATTTGCTTAAAAAAAATTGGGAAAAAGAAACCCAAAAGAGCCTTCACTTTACTTTGTCTGCTGCTGACCTTTAGACCTGACACCCACTGCATCCTGTGGGAAACTTTTTCCGAGAGCCAACTTTTTTACAAATATTTTAGCAGATTTAAGCATCCAGACCACATTTTATTTGCCTACATCTACTGAAAAAGCTATGGAATCACAGTAACACATACGTGGACTTTTAAATTCACTTAAGTATCTGTAATGCAATAAAATATAATGTAACAGAATCTCAAATGTGCTACATGCAAGTGCTTTTGAAGTTTGGGGGGGTTTATGAGGTTTATTCTTGTAGCTTCTACAAGTCTCTAAAATGCACACAATTGCATTGCTGCCCATTCTCCTGTGTATGCTTTTAAAACCGTATTTTGCATATCCTCCATAAGTAACGAAAGCACGAGAAAAAATCCATGCATTCCTAGATTTGGGCAATAAAAGTAAGAGTGATAATTCAATTTCCTTCTCAAAATAAAAATTCAAGTTTCTCTTAGATGTTTTGCCAAAAAATGTTCTTAAACTTTGCAAGAACAGCTCACTTAAAGGAATCTGTTTAGCTTTTCAGTGTCTAAGCACTGCACCTGTTCCTTTTCAGATAACCAGTCTCCTTGACAAGTCTTGCACTCCTCTTGTTTCTCCTCTACAATGAGAAATTGTTTCATGCAGTGTGGAACAGATCACTTGGGGAAAGTTACAGAAAAGATTTCATTACTTCCACAGGGCACATGAGCACTCCTTTCCAGGTGTGCCTCTCCTCCAGGTCGAACCTTCTTGCCCCTGTACGTGGTTCCTGCAGAGCTGTACATCTCACAGTCCTACATGTGACTGTGCCAGATCAGTGCTCAGAAGGAAACTTTCCAGCTGTTCCAAACAAGCCGTGGAGTCAGACAAGGACAACCACATTGACGCCAAGACAGGTAACCAGGCATTTGGCTCCCTCACACAGCACTAACAAAGGAGACTAAAGTATGAAACATTTGATACTGTTCAAAGAAGGTGCTCCATTTACTTAGAATTAGACTATGCATGTTGTGTTACTGCAGGATATTATGCCAACAAGTTTCAGCTAGATTTAGCAAGCAGGAAAAACAGAAGGAATGTTTGGTTTTGAGAGCTTATAATGGAGAGTTTGTTTCAATTTCACCTATCAAGTGGCAGTATTTTCATTATGCATGACTAAATGTTAACTGCAAGGACAAGTTAAAAGGATCAGTATCTGAAGACACAATGCCTCCTGAAGACCTTGTTACAATAAGTGTGCAGTGACAGTATAATAAAAGCCTTTACTTTCAAGTCTTAATATTACTGAAGCTCCTATTGGAACTTTAGTTCTTGGTTTTTATGGCTGTTTTATCACCAGCCATCAAAACTGCATTAGTGGTCCACCTACATACGACACAGATCAAGGCTCCAGTCCACTAAAACCTCTCTCACAGCCACATGACTTCACATGGTTACAGCTCCATTACCAAAAGGAGCAAGGGGTCAAGCTATGTCTCACTCCAAGTTATTCCTAGGATGTCTCCTAGGACAGTGCTGTGCTCCTGGCACAGATCTCTTGCCTGTGCTGGCAGGAAATTTGCATGTGGACATTTGAGACAACAAGCAGCTCTCCAAACCTCCAGTAAGATAACGCCAGTGAATTATCATGCATGAGAACAGCAGGACAGGATGTAACAGTGCAAGCTTACATAAGACACAAGGCACTGCTGGGAACCAGCACAAGTGAACAGCATAAATGGCTCAGGAAAATGCTGATGTCACTCACGTACATTTGGGTTGTGCTGGTCAAGTTTCTCTGAACCTAAAACTGGCCTTTCCAGCTGTTTGTAAAACCTCACAGTCTGTTCTGCTCTCCCTAGATGTTGAGAAGGAACTTGTTTTCAAAAACCTGTGTTTCTTCCTAGTGAGAGTTTTCTTTAAGATGAGCAAGAATCTAAAGAAAAACAGAAAAAGTAACAGGGAACTGGAAAAAGCATGTAATTGCATACACAAACACTTGCTCCTAATACTTGCTGAGAAAATAGTTCAAGCACAACTTATCCATTTTAAAATGTGACCTCCGCAAACCTACTAAGGTCAATGAGACTTACAATAGTTACTCAGTGAGGCCTGCTTGCATAAATTAAAGATGCCTAAGGGTAGCTATGAAACTGGGTATTTGATTTTTCCAGGGCACCTACATATTATGAATTAATAATGAATTGCCATTTTACCAGAGAAGCTTTCAGGTTTGAGAAGAAAAACCAAACTCAACTGTGTTGTGCTTACCTCCTCCTCAACACCTAAAAGCTCTCCTATTTAATGTTAAAACTGATTATGGAAGCTTCATATTAAATTGATTAGGTGAGACACTATAGATCAAATTACTTTCAAAAAATCCCCAAGATATCAGTCAAACACTGCTTCCTCCAGGTGTATCCTTCTACAATAGATTTAAAAAAAAAAACAACAGAAAATAAGACAAGTAATCTAGCTGCACAAATGAATATAAAGCAAAACTCTAACGAGAAAACTTAGCTCACTCAGGTATTTTGCAGCAGCAACTCCCAGCTCTGTGCTTGGCTGCTTCCATCAGTTATTGCAGTGGCTGCTCACCACTTCAGAGGAGCGTGTGAACCACGAGAGGCAACTCCTTGAGTTTCAGGATTCCTGTATTTAGGTTTTTACCTATGGAATACTTAAGGTATTTGATTTTCCATTGAGAGGGTGAGAGGGAAGACACTGTTCCTAACAAGAATATTGTCCTTGAACAACTCAGTTTGTCTTTCATTACAGGTATAACGAAGTTACTATCACTTCCTTCAGTATTTTCTCGCAAATACAGAGGCAACCTGAGAGAGCATCGTGTTAACCCAACTCCACAACCCTGGCAAGAACCAGGTGCCACAGGAACAAGTAAATCAGAATGCTTCTCCTTCAGTTCCTTACTGAAACACCACTTAGCTCAGAGAGAACAACTATGACAGACAATATTCCACATTAGAAATTCTCAAGGTTTCCTCAGCAGTGAGAGAGGACACTTAGAACCATTTTTGTTCTAGGCAAGCAGAAGGGAAAAAAACCACCCATAGACTATTTGCAGTGTGGAATGGCAGCTCTTTGAAAGCATATTAATGCACGCATTACATAAAAATATGAAGTGCAAGATAACCACAGCGCAAAACACACAGTATCACAGGTATATTAAATGTCTTTTTAAGTAAGCCCCTATTTCCATCAGAGGGTGGCTCCTACAGGAAAATTCTGCGAGTAAAATGCTTGCATCCTGGCTAGAGCCTCCCTGCTTCTATAGCAGAAATAACATTGCTATCAACCCATTATTACTACAGCAGATAAGCATGTCACAGTCATTAGTGTGTTAATTCACAGTATGATTTGGAAAGCACCGCTATTCCTGATTCATAAGCAAACAGAGGGCTGGTGCAGGAAGGCTGATCCAAGGTCACAGGGTAAGTCTGTGGTAAAGTAAGAAACTTCACCTGCTTTTGCCTTCGTGCAACTAATACTTTCTATTAATGAGTCATCGCTGCTCCTCTAAATTATTCTTTGAGCAGAAAGAGGCAACAGACTGCCTGTGGCATTCAAACTCTACATGCTAATAGCAGCTCTGCTCCAGGGTTTTCTAAAAAAAAAAAAAAAAAAGAAAAAAATCACACCCAAGGGCCTTGTTCTGTGCTGTCACAGAATCCTGCTCCGGCACTGGGCTGCTGTGGGGGGGAAAAAGAAATATACATATATATATATATGATGAGGTAGCGTGCCTTGTTTGTGACCCAGCTCTCTCCCTGGAGAAACAAAACCCAGCCCCTGAATAGTTTTTTACTCCCTCCTGCCACAGACCACCGGGCAAGGGCAAAGTGCAGGAGGAAGGGACGGTCAACGGGGAGACAAGTTATGCAAAGCTGGGGGCCGGTGCGGGGGGGGTGCAGAGCTCCCTAAGGCCCACGAAATAAAAGATAAATAAATAAATAAAAGCCCAACTTCTGCTGGCGGGTCACGGGGGTCACAGCGCGGGGGAGGGGGCTCTGGACGGGGGGCTGTGCGGGGGAAGGGCCCGCGTCACTGGGGGGGTACGGGGAGGGTACGGGGCACGGGCAGCCCCCTCCCAACTCCGCCACGGCCGGGGGTGGCCGGCTGCGAACCCTCCCACAGCCCCGGGGGGCCCCAGGGGCGCTCCCCATTCCCCGCATCCCGGCTCGATGCTCCCCCCGCCCCAGCGCGGCCCCGGGGGCGCCGCTCCCCACGTACCTGTGCGGGGAGGCGGTGGGGACCGAGGGGCTGCCTGGTTCGGCCGTCGCGCAGCCGGCGGGTCCGTTCCCGGCCATTCCCGACCGTTCCCGACCGTTCCCGGCCGCTCCGGTCGCGCCGCCCGCTCCCCTCGCCTTTAGTTTGACCTTTCCCGTGTCTCCGCCGCCCGTCCCCGGCCACCCTCTGACGTCACCGCCATGGCAACCAATCCCCGCCCTCCCCGGGCCCCTCCCGCCGGCCCCTCCCACCCCGAGCGCGCGCGCGCGCACGCGCCGCCGGCGGGAGGGAGGGGGCGGGGCCGCCCCTGCCTTGGGCTGCCAATGAGCGGGGGGGGGGCGCGAGGCCCCGCCCCTCACGAGTCACGGAGGGGGCATAGACCCCGATAACATAATAAATGTCTATATTTATCTATGAATATGTTTGAATATTCCTTTCTATCCCCCTACAGCAGCCGTGAAAGTTCAGAACAAGGGCCTTTGGTGCGATTATTTTTTTTTTTTTTAGAAACCCCCGAAGCGAGGCCGCGGCTTTGACTGGCACGGGCTGTGCGGTGTCTTCAAGGGGCACGCGCGCGCTCCCACAGCCCTCCATAGGGCGAGTCCTTCCCTCCTTTCCAGAGGGATTAAGGGGGTCCTGGCCGACGGCAAGCTCAGTATGAGTCAGTGGTGCCCTGGTAGCAAGGAGGGCCAACCCTGTCTTGGGGAGCATCAGGCGAAGTGTTGCCGGTCGGGCGAGGGAGGGGATTCTCCTGCGCTGCTCTGCATTGGGGCGGCCTCGCGTCGAGTGTAGTCTTAAGCTGCACCAGGGGAGCTTTAGATTGCCCATTAGGAAGAATTTCTTCACAGAAAGGGTGATTAGATGTTAGAGTCACCGTCCCTGAGGTGTTTAAGGGAAGAGTGGGTGTGGCACTCAGTGCCCTGGTCCAGTTGACATGGTGGTGTCCGGTCAAAGATTGGGCTCAATGACCTCAGACGTCTTTTCCAACCTAATTGATTTTGTGATTCTGTGGTTCTGAGTACCGTGTGCAGTTTTGAGAGCCACAGACTAAGAGATAAGGCTATTAGAGAGCATCCAAAGGAGGGCTACAAGGAGTGCTTGAGGTCACTTGGAGGAGACTGAGGGAAGACCTCACTGTGGTCTACAGCTTCCTCATGAGGGGAGGCAGAGGGGCAGGCAGTTTTCTCTGTGATGATCAGTGACAGGAGGGAATGGCTTGAAGCTGTGCCAGCAGAGGTTTAGGTTGGATATTGGGAAAAGATTCTCTACCCAGAGGGTGGTTGGACACTGCAGCAGGCTCCCTGGGGAAGTGGTCAAGGCACCAAGCCTGACAGAGGTCACAGAGCATTTGGACAACGCTCTCAGGCACGTGGTGTGATTCTTGGGGCTGTCCTGTGCAGGGCCAGGAGTTGGACTTGATGATGCTGATGGATCCCTTCCAACTCAGGATATTCTATTCTCTTCTGTTATGTTCTATGAATTTAAATGCTGCCTTTTCTCTGCACACACTTACACAAGCCCAGCTAGTGCTGTCATAGTTTGCCTGCTCCTCTCCATGTCTAGTGTGCTTCCCAGGGTAGTTAAGTATTCCCCGAAGATCACGCTGCTTCTCCAGTCCCATAACTTACAGCACGTTCCCATTGTTTAGAGAGCATATGGGTAATTGCTTTTTCTTTCCCCAAAATACTTGGCATAGATATCATATATGTAATATGTGTAACATATGGAAGGCTGCATATTTCAATGCCTCAGTGCACAATGTGTGCATAAATGTTTTATGTGTAAATGCTTTGCTTCAAACACTTGTCAGCTGTGAGCACATGCAGCTTACAACTTTGTGTAAGGTTGGCGTATTAGACTCTGTGTTTGTACCTTGTTTCATGAAAGGTGTGTGCATTATCAGCATGCTACGTAATACGGGCTTTAAGTTGAGATAAGTATGCCGGCATGATGTTTAAATACGCTATCAATTAGCAATTACACCGTGTCTTTCATCTGCCCGACATGCAGAACACGCTGCGTACTTTATATGTGCCACTTACTGTCACTTTTGGAACTATGACAGATTTCAAACGATTTTTTAATCAGAATAGTCATTCAGAAATACAATCCAATATTCATCAGAGATGCAGACTGAGATGTGTTCAACAAACCCTTTCTGAAGGTGGATAAAAGGGAGCAGATACAGTTTCTCTGCCTTTGAAATGTATGATACCTTTCTCTCGGAGTATTAACAAACCAGTTTAAATCCTATCACAGCAAGACCAGGATCTGCAGTGTGAATTCATACATAGACTGGCTCTTCCTCGTTTGAAGGCAGAGATTAAGGAAATTATTTTAAAGAGAGCTTTTAAACTATAACTGAATTTGTGACATGGCTTATTTCTCATCGGCCCAAGTAGATTTAGTGTTATATTAGTGACTGGCAGCAAAACACTGCAACTGGATGATATTCAGAGCAGGAGCATCCACGTGGAAGGTGACTGTTGTTTGGTGGGCACAGGGTTAGGTGCTGACCTACCTGGTGAGGGTAATGCCATCCCATCCCGTGGAGGCTGTGTGAGGTTCTGCTGGCTTTGCACAGAGGTTCTGGTATATCCCAGCTCTGCTGGAACTTGCGTTTTGATGGGTCTCTTTAATTCCAGTCTCCAAGCCATGAGCCTGACTGTGGCCAGCTCCCAGGGCTGTGAAGGGGATGAGTTTGGCCAGTCAGCAGCAACCAGGAGTGACCTTATTCTAACAGAGCAGACAACCATCTGGGGCAGATGTGAATGCGAGCCACAATGAGCTGTGTATTGAAACACCGTGACTTGGACCTACATATTTGCAATGCTGAAAAAGTGCAGTGTCCGTGTTAACAACCCTTATAAAAACCCACTTGAGTCAAAGTAGAAGGAAGACTTTGAACAGCAAACTCTTGGGAAGGGCATAAATAAATTTACCAGCAGGGATATATCAATATGACTTTGGTGGGTCCCTAGGGAAGTGGTTTCCTTCCTGCGTATCTCCTGTTGCTCCCCAGTTCAGCGAGGAGAGCCCTTCCTTTTCTCCCTGGGGGTCAAGCAATGTAATCAGTGCTTGTGGAGGAAATAAATACAGTTCTCAGCATGAGTAAATTCAAGTCAAATACACTTATTTGGCATTTTTATCCATGAAATCTTAAAAGAGGCAAGATAAGCCCATAATGACTAATTGGACGTGACGAAGAGGAGATGGCACAACAATGTAGGTGAGGGAGGAGATGGAGAAATCAGTCCTGAGGAAAGATCTGGCACTCACAAGGCATGAGAGAGCCAGAGTTCATCTGTTCAAATATAATCTTCCAGAAAGGGAGGTGGGGGGTGGGGGGGAAAGCTCTCCTTCTTGCACGGACAATACCGGAGGGACGCCCGCGCCTGATTTCCATGAGAAAGGCCACTTCTGGCATTGACATTCTGCTGCCACAGACCTCCTCCTCAACGCGGGGCTGAAAGAGGAGGGGAGGAATAAACTCTGCTTTCCAAAGGGCTGGAGCTGCCAAAGAGGCCCATGGAAAGCCAATTGTGCAATGAGGGAAAGCAGGGAGGGAGGATCCCTGCTCATGGACGCAGTGAACCGCCTGTTGAAAATAAGTGGGAGAAGGGCTAAGAGGCATTTTGATGTGTTTATACAGATGTTGAGTGAGTGCTAGTTTAAAGCAAAGTTGACGGGGACACTGATGTGGGGTTGATTTTGAATGCTGGAGCATTGCACTCAAGTCCTTGCTACATATGCATAACATCCATAAGTGCTGCTGATTTCAAATCCTGGCTCACACGGAGGTTTTATGAGCACTTCTCATTCGTAGATCTCGGAGTGCTTTACAAAGAGAGAGCTATAAATAAGACAGATGGGAAAGTGAGGAATTGAGAGGGGCTTTTAAAGGGCAATGGATTGTTTCTTTAAGAGTTTCTGTGGACAAGAACTAGATAAGAACTGTCATTTTGCTGAATATAAAATATTTTGCAATGGCGCCCTGTGTCAAATTGCTTGTGCATAGATATTTATGTTATTAAGGCAAAGTTTTGTCACGCTGTGTCCAAATTGTCTCTAGCTAAGCTTTTGGAAAGTACAAAAGAAAAGCACTTAGTGTTAGATTTTAACATAGGGTATGGATGTTTTAGGCACTTTTAAATTGAACAGATCAAAGCTTTTTATTCCTATATACCAGAAATCCAGTGATATTTGTGTAACTGTGTAATTTGACCTGTCTGTTTTACATGTTCCCAAGGGTTTATTATAGGCAGCTTTCAAATTAAGTGGGCTGGAACATTTGATGCTCTCTTCCCTGCTTTTTAAAGCCTGTGCATAGCTCATACTGTGTGACTGACACTGCTGTTAAAGGGGTAGCATTTTAGTTTATCACAAGGTACGCAGCGAGGGAATGGAGATTACCCTGGTCCTGGTTCCAGCTCTGCACTCCAAGGCAGCCATTTAATTTCTACCTCCTTCATCTTTCCCCTCCAGGGAGCTGGGTGCAATAGTTCCCTATTCTCCAGGGCAGCACAAAGCTTAGTCAACCTTGAGAAAAGGAATGGGTAAATTGCAAACAACAGGGAGATAGTGGGGAAGGCCCCAGTGCTTTAAGCATCTCCATGTTTGTAGTCACCTGCGTGGGTCCATTTTACCACTGATGTTCCACAGCACCACAAACTTGGCAAGTTTGGGAAAGCCTTAAACACTTCCCCTGCATTTGAAATAACATTATTATGTAACTAGGAGGCAGTCATAGGCTGATGGCTCAGCAATGTTTTATGCAGCAATCCTTTCATCCTACAGTGACCTTGTAACTGGATAATAAAAGCCATATTCCACTGGCAATTGCACCTGTGCTGCCACTATTTACACTGCAATAGCACCTAAAGGCCCCATTGTATAAGGCACAGTAAACCTGCCTCTCTCTGGAAGAGACTGGAAGTGTGGAAGTGGGAGGAAAAGAAGTAACAGAAGCAAAATGTTTGCCTCAAGGTCATATATAAGAAAAGTAGCTCTGGCAGGAGAAAAAGTCAGGTCTCCCAAGCCCTGTGTCCTGTGAACAATGGCTTATAGAGGAAAAAAAAGACATATTTGCTTCTAGGAATATAAATATAAAATGCTGGGAGATCACAATGTTGGCAGTAG